AATTTCCTTTTAAGAATTTTTTTGCCTATTAGCTAATAAGAAATGAAACATTTGGGGCTGGGGATTTAGCTCAGCGGCATAAGCGCCTGCCTTGGAAGCAGGCAGTCGTGAGTTCGATCCCCGGTAACCGATAAAAAGGAAAAAGACCAAAAAAAAAAAAAAAAAAAGAAATGAAACATTTATTGAGTATATGCTTTGTGCTTTTGAAAATCAATGAACACTTTACAAGTTTATATATTATCATTTATCCCTTAAAACCCCTGTGCAGTATTTAATATCATATACTAATGAAGAAAATGCTCAGAGGCTAAAAAATATACCCAAAGTGTCGGGAATAGCAGTAGTGGCACAGGTAGCATTTGCAAACCTTCACAAGTTATAGAATGATCTTTCTACTAAATTGTGTAGCTTCACCTTAGCACAAAGTTTTACTGATGTTGACATCATTCTTCCACACACAGGTACCGATGGGCCTTTATTCCAGAAGCTTCTGATGATTCAGGTTTGGAAGTCAGGAGGCAAGGCATACACCAACGAGAATTTAAACCTTACGTGGTACGACTAGCAAAACTTCTCCGGAAAAGGGCAAAGGTATTAATTTTTTTTTTTTTTTTTGTCTTTTTCATTTTTATCGGTACCGGGAATCGAACTCACGACCACCTGCTTGCAAGGCAGGTGCTTATGCCACTGAGCTAAATCCCCAGCCCCAAGGTATTAAATTTTTAAAAATTTGGTTTTATTACCTGCATATTGCATTTTACATTTGTAGTATTAGATTATGTTATTACAGTAAGTACACAATTTACAAGTGAGTTCCATTCTGGGAGAATGTTCATAAGGCAGATTTGTTTGTATCTGATAAAGTAGGTCTTTAACAATGCACCTGTGCAACTTTGCAACTCAAATGTTAGTAAGTTAGAGACATACAGTACTATTTATTATCTTAAGTAACAGTTGTATTAGTCAAGCATTTATTAAAACAGTTCCTAGGAAACTGAGGATACTGTCAAATTGAGCTATTTTGCAAACAAGTCCGTAATTTTCAGAACTGATTTAAACCTAATATTTATGAATATTAAAAAAAAAAAACCATAAAATAGCACATGCCTATTATCCCAGCTACTGAGGAGGTGGAAAGGACTGCAAGTTTGAGGCTAGACTGGGCAATTTAGCAATATCTCACCTGTCTCAAAGTTTAAAAAAAAAAAAGAGGAAAACATTAATTTTCAGCCTTGGGGACTGATCGTAAGGCTTTGCACATGCTACTCAAACTCTCTTAAATCACGGCCCAGATACTCATTTCTTACAAAGCCTTTGGTACACTAGTAACATTTATCTTAAAATATATCTTAAGAGTAAAAACCCTCAAACCATGAATATAAGTACTTAGGAATACAGTCCTAAAGTTCATGTCAAACTTGAAGAATTTAAAACACCCACAGTATTCATCTGAGTGACTTAATGAAAAAAGATAGGAGTTAACTGAGAAAAATGCAATTCTAAAAGGAATTTGTAAAATAAATCTGTCAGATTGGTTTCAACAAGAAATTGGTGACTATTGAGATTATACATTTTAAATTTTAATAAAATGACAGGAACATTTCATCAAAATTGAATCAGCTAACCCTGGTTAGAATAAAATAATCATTAGAATTCATTCTGTTTATACATATGAAGTAAAATCTACATGCTAAAAATTCATCTAAGTTGGTTACATTTTGCTTTTATTACAACCTAAACTGTGTCCCATATCTTAACCACTATATCTGTAAACAGTATCTGAAGTGTCTCATCAAACAACACTTGCCCAATTGTGTATTTTCTTTTCCATAGTTTCTATTGTTGATCCTGAGTATGTCCCATTTCAATAGATTTCAAGGCGTTCCTCCACAGATCCTGCCATTTTTTAAACACTCAAGCACACAGTGTCTCTGTGGAAAAGCTAATGAAGTGACTCAAAAATATGAAGCTTCTTAAGAGATATTCTTCAGAACTAAAAAGTGAAAATTTGCTTAAAACACGTATCATAAATAAGCAATGTGTAGGAAGATAAAATTGTAAAATACACAGTGGTAGCCCAGTTCACCGACTTAATTCATCCTACCTTCTGGAGAAGATGGCCATGTGGGTATTCGAGTGGAGGAACATGGCTGCAGTGTTCATCACTCAAGATGGAGTTCACGAACAGAAGCAAAATTTTGCCCAGTGCTTCTGATTGCTAACTGAACTGTTCACAAACCAAAGCAATTGTGAACAGAGGTGTTACTGTATTCATTGTATATTGTACCATACATTTCAGTATATGTCAGGTAAATTTATTGCATACCTTTGCTAAGAACAAGAGTAATGCAATCGACATGCTCATTATTGGGTCGTTGTTATTTATCTTGTCATTTTTTTTTTTACATTTAGATTTCTGAAAATAAACTGCAGTTTGGGGATGATGTAGGTTATTTTGTGAGTTTTAGTTTGCACTATATGCTTTCTGTGATCAGAAATTTTCCAATCTTCTGAAATTTTCCCTAATCAGGAAACAGATTCTAAATTGAATTTCACATACTATACACTGAAATGCAAGAAAGTGATTAAAAAGGTTTTCCTTGAAGAACACAAAGGAACTTGATTTATATAATGCCAGTTACTTCGTTAGGAGCTAAACAGGTCAAAGATGTGTGGGAAAGTTGAATTTAGAGTTTAGTAAGTGACATGGTTACTAAATTGGCAATAACATTTCATCACAGGGTTTGGAAAAGTAATCCTGACCAATCCAAAAATAGCATAATTTCATATGACTCTAGAAGCATATCCTGTAACTGCAGTATCTCAGAAATACTGAGAATTCTTTTAAGACCTCTCCCTTATCTAAAGGATAAACAGGTGTTTTCCCCAGAACTTACCCCACAGAATAAGACAACTACTGTATTTTGATTGGAAAGCATCTTCCTACCCTTCCTTTAAACAAGGTCTTCAAGGCCAAGCACACTTTTCAGTGAGTTCTCCTCTTTCCTTCCACAGGACGAGGACTTTAACACTGTGATTTTGGAGGGATTGGAGATGGCCAAACATCAGGTGAGGGTGGCTATTTGACGCTTGTGCTCTAACAGCAAAAGCTGCCGCATCTGGACCCAATAGTGAAACACAAAACCTAGGTCTGGATTCCATCAAGTACAAGAGAGGTAAACAGGAAGGAAGTCTTTCTCCATCTGTAGACTATAAAGTCAAAGGAGAAATTGCTTGGAAACATATTTAACAGTGAGGATGAGAAATGATTTGCATAAAGAACAGCATAATCACTGAAACAGCTATGCTCGCTTGTTCAAGAGCTTGCATGCACTAACACACGCGCGCGCACACACACACACACACTTTCTCTCTCTTTCTGTGTGTGTGTGTGTGTGTGTGTGTCTTGAAGCACTTTTTATTTTTTTTTCTTTTTTTGGGTACCGGGGATCGAACTCACACTTGCTAGGTAGGTGCTTATGATGCTGAGCTAAACCCCCAGGACCTTAAAGTACTTCTTGATAGGTAATATAAATGAAAGGTTAAGCCATAGTTGGTTTACATCTGTAAATAAGCTGTATAGAGGATGCGAGTATAATATGCATTTTTGTTCAGGATAAATTCATCTCTATACCCTTTGATACTGATAATGGAATTGTAATGGGAAACAGAAATGGTATGATAATAGTAGTCAATGATTTGAAATGCACTCAAAGGTCTCATTAAAGCCAATGTCACAAGAGAATGGGAGGTACGCTTATGTTATAATCTAGATCAAAATTTAAATCCTAAGAAAAATTGATAGCTGAGTTTTTGTCATTTTTTGTTTTTTGGGGGGGCTACACATGAACTATATGACCTTTTGTTGTTTCCTTGTGCAGTCTCCTGGTTTAAATCTGTATTAACATTTCGCTTTACAATAAGCAGACAGCGGGGGCTGTAGCTTAGTGGTCAAGTCCATGTTTAACATGCACGAGGCCCTGCATTTGATCCCTAGCACCACACATAAACATAAGTAAACAAGCCTTGAGATCATAAGAATTCTGCATCTTTCTCCACAAGGACATAGGTGATATTAAAACAGTAAATAAACAGTGAAAGTTTCTCAGCAATATCTAATCTTAGGAGAGAAACTTTTTTTCCTTTTTCTCTATAGTTCATTGTTTTACATTATCTTTACAGTGTTGTTATATCTGTGATTTTATGCAAATACAGACATCTGTCTTTCTCTAAAAAGATCAATATACATAGCTGTGTAATTCAGCTGGCTTTTTTTCTTTGAGATGAAGCCTTATTACGTAGTGTAGTACAGGTTAGCCTTGAACTTGCTATGTAGCCCAAGCTGAGCTCAAACTCATGATCCTCCTGCCTCAGCCTTTGTATGCTGGGATTACAGGTATGTACCACTATGCCTAGTGTAGCCAGTTTTTGAAATTAGCTTATTAAAACAAATTATTAGTGCTTGTGTTTAGCTGACAGTTTGCAAAATACATTCTCATTTGACTCTCCTACTACTAGTAGATAGATTTTCCCATTTCATCAGTGAGGAACTTTTATATCTTCTCCAAGAATGCAACACAGTAAGTAAATGGCACAGCCAAAGACTAACCCAGTTCTTTTGACTCAAAGTCAACCTGTCTTCTCCATGTTGTTTAGCACAACCAATAGGGGGCAACAGCAGGGTCTCCCCGGAGGATCCCTTCTTCTCTCTGTGGTACAATACTGATAGCAATTATCCACTTTTGGACCATGCTATAATCTTGTGGCAAGTTCAGACCATTTAGGTAAATGTATGATGCTCACTACACTTCCCTAATTCTTTTATAATCATTTGTGACCTAGTCCTTGGTTATGTCAGTGGGATTCAAGGAGCTTATTATTTATGTCCAATTCTTTATCACTTCTAACTAAACTTATCTGTACATTATGGTTGGAAAGTATTATTACATGAGGTATGTTAGACCCCTATACATAAAATTAGCAAATGGTACTGAAAGGCCTTAGGAACAAGGGTTTTAATCAAGTCTGAAGACACTTATCATTAATGTTCATTGTCAATGCAATTTCTGATGTTGATGTCTCATTTGTCTAATACAGTACCCCAATGATTCTGTTCCTACAGAAGAATCCAGAGGAAGACAACTCAGGGAGAACACTGGGCTGGGAACCTGGGCACTTGCTGCTCACCATCTGTACTGTGCGCAACATGGAACAGCTCCTCCCATTCTTCACTGTCCTCAGCCAGGTCTTCAACAGCAAAGTCACAAGTCGGTGCGGAGGACACTCAGGGAGCCCTGTCCTCTACTCAAACACTTTCCCTAATAAGGACATGAAACTGGAAAACCACAAACCATTTTCCAGCAAAGCCCGGCAAAAAATAGAAGAGATGGTAGAAAAGGATTTTCTGGAAGGGGTGATAAAAACTTGAGTACCACCAGTGGTTTTGCTGCAGTTATTTAAAACAGACACACTGCTCTGAGTTGTATAGTTTCTTTTTCTTTTTTATATATGTAACAAAACACATTTTAGGTTGTATTTAAATATTTGTAAATAAGAGCTAATGTCTGAATGTGGCTGATTCAAATTTAAATATTGTTTGTTCATACTGATTATGGTGCCTACAAGAGCTTTCACTATATATATCTAATCCATTGGTTTATTGTCCTGAATTGTCTTAAACCTACCAAATATACACTACACATTTTTTCTATTGGTTTCAGGCTTGGTTTAATTTAGATTGGCTGAGGTTTTTTCCCTTCCGTTATTAACCATGTTCTAGTATCCGAACGGTTCACCATCAAAGGCTTAGTACATTTGATTTAGTTCTTCCACATTGAGTCACTGGTAGCAGTGAAGAAAAAGTGCACAGTTCTGTAGGACAACATGGACACCTTCCCCTGAGTGTGGGGAGAGATGGATCACTTCTCTGAATTCCTGCCAGCACTAAGCAGACAGGTAAGTTATCTTCTATCCATAATGACGATGTGCTGTAGAAAACCTGGTAGTAAAGTCTTTTCTGCTCTCCCCATTTACCACAGATGGGGAACAATACCTTGACAGGTAATGGTGACACCAAAGACATGACAAGATAATAGTAAGATTTAAGTTCTAGCATTCTGAATGATTTGTTTCTTGCATACATTGTAAAACTAAGCACTGAATCATATACTTAAGTGCCTAATATTTTATATTAGTGAGACTAAAATTATAGGTAAACTTCTTTAACAAGCATAAAAGACTTACCTATTTCTAAAAAAAAAAAAAAGTAGTGTTTAAGAAAAACAGAGTAGAAACAATCTAGTAACATACATATAAACATGATTATGATATTGTTACAGTTTTATAAAAGCTTTTTAAAAATCCAGTTTTCACAATGTAAAAATTATCCGCAGAAACTTGGTGTGGGTCTTTCTCCAATTCCTCCAGCCAGCTGAAAGACTGCCAAGCTCACTTCATGTGCAAGGCTATCTGCATTTTCCTGCAGATTACATTAAAGAGATAAGATAAGAAAGCTGTAACATCTACCATGCCACTTGTAACTCTGGGATAGCATGAGGGCTTCCTGATTTTCACTAACATATCCAAATTAAAACTTGTTTTCATCTTTCAGTGACAAATTCCCAGGTCTTTAAGTAAATGGAAAGCAAGTCAAATTCTTCTAAATAAGGTAAGTTTCAGATAATCCAGGGAATAAAATTAGTTATTCCAAATTTTTGAATAAATTCAATAAAAGCTGGTCACTTTAAAGGCAGGGGACCACAACTGGCCTAAGAGTAAGGAACGCTCAGGACAATAGTGACACACCTATGGCATACCTGTTATTTTTAATGTGTGAATTTTTTTTTCTAAACTGAAACCTAAGTACTCAGGTTTAATTGCAGTGTTGGCACTTTGTGTTAAGTAAGTGGGTTCTGGGTTGCAGTTTGGGCCCTCTTCTCTACATGTCTCCATCACTGTCTGAGGATCTCAGTTGTCCTCTCCAATCCACCAGGGCTACTCATTTACAGTGTCCCAAGGTGGACCATGCTTCTACCAGGCAAAGGAACGAAAACTACCAAGTCATATATAAATGTCTCCAATTCCCTGCCCAATTTACTGTAATTTTCTGTGCAAACACTTACATATAAGACCCTAAGACAAAAGAAAAGATGGATCATGCACAGAGGGAAAATTGTAAAAATCCCAGCCCAAGGACTGGGCAGGAAGATAGAATGTTCCAGGCTAAGCCTGAACTACAAATCAGGACCCCAATTCAAAAAAAAAAAAAAAAAAAAAAAAATCCAGACCATCAGTCTTGACCCCCAAGGTGAAATCAGTAAGTTGGTTTAAAAATGGACTACAAAGCTCATACTCTCATAAAGCAGAATTATCCACTTCACAGTACACAATATTAACACATGTCAAATTTACTCCTCTCCTGCTTTAAAAAGTCTAGAATAAGTCAAAAATAGTTAGGAAAAGGCTGAGGCAGTTGTCTTGCTGAATGTTCAAAGCCAATCTAGGCTACATAATAAATTCAAGGCCAATGTGACCTACATACTGAGACCCTGTCTCAAAAACAAAGGCAGGGCCGGGAAATAAAAGGTCTAATTTATTCAACTTTAACTATTCATGATAATCTTATACTTTTAATAAGATCCTAACAGGCTCCATAAATAACCTCCACAGTGAAATTTCAAATACTAAAATACGGTTCTCTGCTAGTGTTCCTCCCCTGACCCTCTGTCATTAGACCCTCACTGCCCATTTTTTTCAACGCTACCCCAGCTTACTTGTGAGTCGGCTTCTGCATATACTCGGATGACATCCTCTGTACCTGAGGGCCGGACAAAAGCTCGGGAGAGTTTGTACTTCTTCACCAGGTCACTGATCATCTCCTGTAGTCCAGGAGGTGTGACCACCTGTCTTTCAGCATCTGTGGTACTAATAACTCTCCTATCTGCAACCTAAAGAGGAAAAATTGGACATCTGTTACACTATTAAATCCCTTTCATAAACCAAACCTGCTGCTCAACATAACATGAATCTTCCGGTGGGAATCAACAGCACACCAGCACTTTGGCCTACTATATCAAAAAGTACAACACTCAGATAGTGAAATACGAGACTAAGATAAAATTTAAGTATTTTTTCCCCCAAGGTGAGAGCTGTTCCTTTAGCAAACCGAATTCTCCAGAAACTTCAGTAAAATCATGGCTGGTAAATACACAATTTTAAGTTCCTTATCATACCTCAGACCCCAATGATCTAGTAACTTTAGGTATTTTTTGTACATGTTCACAGTATATGACTATTCCTCATATGAGTGAATATTTGTACATAACCCATCTTATTTCTTATCCTCTCCCATTTGCTAAAGATCTCCCTATTATCTATTAGTTTGCTCTTTACATTTTAGATTTCCCATAAAAGAAGCCATGCACTATTTAAACTTGTGTGTCTGATTTATTTCACTTAACATTATGGTCTCAAGGTGCATCCATTTTCCCTACAGATTACTCCCGTAAAAACATGGAAACCTGTTACATAAGAGAGCTAAACTAACCTGAACAATTAGAAGCCATTTCTGGGAGTTCTGGCTTTAAAATCTGTCATGTAGGGGGCTGGGGATTTAGCTCAGCGGCATAAGCGCCTGCCTTGCAAGCAGGCAGTCCTGAGTTCGATCCCCGGTACTGATAAAAAGGAAAAAGACCAAAAAAAATCTGCCATGTAAATGCTACTGGAGCATATGTAAACTGGTTTTAGATTTTACTGTGCAACATCTAGCTTAAGGGAATATTTTTGTGAGCCAAAAATAATGCAAAGTATTTTCACTTGATAGGCTATCTGGGTTGTACTTCAAGATAACATGGGGTTGGGGTATAGAGAACATATAAGACAACACAACTCCGTTAAAAGCCAAGTGTATAAAAGCATATGATTTTGTGTTTTCACTATTCATACCTGTTAAATTTCCCATAATGTTTTTAAAGTGATGCATTAGTCATGCATAATATTCTTTAGAATAAAGTTGGAAACCAAGTATTTCTCAAACAATAAAATGGCTAAGTAGTTATTCTGTAATTTTTAAAGATGCAAGAAAATAGGCCTTATTTTATAAAACCATGAAATTCAGAGAAGTAACAGTTTCAGTTAATATTTAAAGAGACTAAAATTTCCCGCACCTTCACTTTGAGTTGTCTGTTTGGAAGATCCATGTAGAGAGCGTCCCACTGCTGTACAGTCAGGCCCTTCAGAGCCAGGATGGCCTCAATCACCAGCATGTCAGAGATGGCATCGCCAGCTGCCTACAAGGTGAGGAAACAAGCAAACCTTGGAACATTCTAGGAAAACCAGGTGGAATATCCTGTGCTGCAACTTCCCTTCATGCTACGTTATTAACTGGAGTATAAACTAACATGAACAGCAATAAGTATGGAAGGTAATAAAATATTTAACAGATTTCAAAAGAAACTCATGGGAAGCCTTTCATCCTCCTCTTCCTCTAAAAATATTAGGTTAGATAACTAAAGGCTTCCGCCTAACATCCTTGTGACTCAAATTTTTCTTTATGATCAAATAACTTTGAGATAGTATACCATGATGACAAAGGTACTACGGTGATATGGGAAAATGAGCTTTGGTGTAAGATCACCCTGAAGCTGGGCCCATATTCTAAACTTCTGTTTCTTCATTTGTGAAACAGGAACTATAATAACCTCTCTGCCTGTATTACAGAGGTATGTAAAGTGCTTCGTATGTACAAGACACTCAAATAATGGTCCCATTCCTTTTAACTGTCTTGATTATTGCTCTTCCATAGTCACAATCCAGTCTCAACTATCTGTCCCCACATGTATGTCCCCTCTCAAAGAAACAGCCAATTAGTTTTACTTAATTTCCTTAAGATGCTTCTTTTTAATTATAACTTAGCTGAAGCTGTCGATTCTAGGTGGCAGCTACTCACTGTACTACTTATTTTTCATCATAAAATGTAGGAAGAAGGAAGCATATTCAATGTTCTGTGACTTCTTTCAGCAAAATCTCAACAGCATATACACCAGTGCAGCAAAGAACCACCAGGCCAGGACTTGTTCACTTGAATGTTTTCACGCAAGTATCCACCACCCCATCATTTCTAACCTGATTAAATAAGTCAATGACATTTTCAAGCATCTTAGCAGCTTTTCCTTTATCGCCTTCTAATTCTTTTGCTAGTTGTTTTATTTTCATTTCCACAGCTTTACTAAACAGCGCCTGTAATAAAAGCATTAGAAATCAGTCACAAAACATCCACACCAGAATTAGAAATACTATTATGCTAGCTAAACTATTTTCCACTGATATTAACTCTGAAGAAACCGAGGGGGAAAAATGGCAGCCTTATGGCAAATTGACATGAGAACCCGACGGGTATCACAGGAAAAAACAGTTTATGGTTATAAAATTTATCAAAATGTAAACAGCTGATTAAAAAGACACCAGCTTGACAAAGGCTGAATACGCATTATGAGTACATTCTGGTTTCCCTTCTTCACCAGCTAAATCAGTGAGCTAGCTTAAAGCCTGTCTGTCCTGTGAAGAGCATGAGCTGCGCAGCATGAGAGAATGGATCTGTCACATTTCATCACAGGATGGACAGTGCAGTGGGTATTTATTACAATACATAGCATGTTCCTCAGGGTTCCTGTCATTTTGAAATGCCGTACCCATCTTTTTTAGTCATCCTTATACGCAAGACTGAAGAACAGCTGCACACAGTGCTCAACTTGATAAAATACATGTTTGTTGGTAAAATAAGGTACACACGTGGGCACCTGTTTTTATAGATTAGGTTCTACTGAAACACAGCCTTACCTGTTCATTTGTACTATATGAGCGGATAAGAGCAATTAGACGTGTGAAGCCTAAAATATCTACTATCGTCTCTAAAAAAAAAAAATTTACCAATCCCTGCATTTGGCCATTCAAGTTAATATTTAATTATATTTCATAACTTCTTTTTCGCTTTACATTTATGGTCGCTGGACACCAATTTTGAATTAATAAAGTGATTTGGTCTAGATTCAAATTTCCTGTTGGTTAACTTAATCTATAAAGGTGAAGTGTATAGACATAATTTTTAAAAATCCTGAGTCTTCCTGCTAGAGGATAGCTCCTGATGACCACACAAGCTGGCCTAGTTTGGCTTGTTGGTCGGTCTGCTTCCCTGCCTCTAGGCCATGTTCAAGCACAACAATTTATCTGGGAGTTTTCATTTAACCAAGGCATTTGTATTTTATAGGCCTCTTGCCCCCCAAGCTCCAAGAACGATCCCTTGGCCCTTATCTCTACACCTGGTAGGAAGCCAGAAAGGAACTGGGGAGGAGCTAGTCTTTGAGTCATTCCTTGAGCAGTCAATTTTGAGCAGTTTTTAACAAAATGGAGAAACTAGATCCCAGGGAAAAGGCAAGCCTCCTATTAATGATGCTTCGAGCTCCATTTAAAAGAAAAGGAGCTTTGGGAATCAGATTGTGATTGAAAAGTCTGTCAATTTTCAAAGCCTGTTTTCTCAGCTGTAATATAACCGTAAAAACTACAAATTTTTGTCCAAAGCACGTTGTGAAAAGTCAATGAGATCTGTAGTATTTCGTGCTTAATAAAAAATAGAAGGCTAGGAAATGTGGAAAGGAAAATCCTGAAGCTTAAGAATCTAAAAACTACTTAGTTATATACTCTTAAATGGTAAATTTTATGGTATGTGAATTATGTCTACAAATTTTTCTACATATTCACTGCTAAGAAAGATATTTAAAAATCTAATATGCTATCACTAATTATTTTAAATTTATTTCCAGTTATCAAATTCTCAACTTTTAAGTCTTCAATTCACCACAGCTACTCAACTTCTTTTCCCTCCTATGACCAGGAAGGAAAGAAAATGAAAAAAAACTGATTTTTAATTATTAACAGAAAAATCAGCATTTCACAAAGAAAGATCATTAAAATCTAAAAGAACCAGTTTCACAACGTTTAAAAATGTATGTTAACCAAATAATCTTACTACCATGTAGTCATTACAGTACAGTATTACCTATCACTACCCAGACAGGCAATTCTTGCTGCTTTTTTTTGCTACTGCATATGGAAGTCTTGACCTTGAGCTTGCCAGGGAGGCGCTTGTGCCACTGAACTAAATCCCCAGCCCCCAGAAACACAATTCTTATTATTAAAAAAAAAAAAAAAAATGCCAGCTCAGGCCAGTTGTGATCTTTTAAGATAACTTACTGTGCCGTGCCCATTTGCTTCGAAATAAACTCCAATGTCAAACTCTTGAGCCTTGTGATGCAAATGTTTTACACCAGTTTTAGTGCAGTAAACAGGTACCTATTACATCCACAGGAAAGGAAACAACAGCAATTATTCAGGTGACAATCATTACTCCATACACACACAAAACGTGCCCCTATGAGGGAATGAAGGCACTGTGGAAGATCACAGCCAAAGCTAAGTCAGATGAGAGTCTCAAAAAGACAGTGGTAGGTTTTAAGTGTGACATCGCGCCATCTAAATTGTCTCAGCTATTTTAGCTACAGTATGCAGAATAGCTTACAGCAAGGGTATGTAAGCTTTTTTCTGGCAAAGGTTAACTAGTACATATTTTAGTTTGCAGTCCGTAACAAGTGTACATGGCTCTTTTCCAATCAAATCTTACAGTGGCAAGTTAGTGTTGGTCAAGCCACTGTTTGCCAAATCCTGGCTTACAAGATTAAGAAAGAGGACAAGTTAGGAAGTAGCCAGGACTAATCTAAGTAAGAAATTATAGTGGCTGGATCAGTCACGATCAATAGACATACCATGAATATATATATTTATTAACATTAAGAATGTTTGAGAGAAAAAATGACTTAAGAGATCAACAGCTGCTCGCCCTTAGGAGACTTCAGGAATGGCTCAAGAAATGGACATCTATGAGACTTAAGGTAAAATTAAAATACAAACATACACCATATAACAACGTTCTTGTCAATGACAGCGTGAACTACAATGGTGCCTTAAGGTTATGTTACCCAGTGACATCATAGCCGTCTTTGTATTAATGACATTCTGTATGTTTACACAATAACTGAATCACCTGATTATATAACATTTCTCAAAACAAATTACCAATGTTTAAACAGTTAACCTAAGTACTAAGCATTCCTGTGAAAAACAAATCTGGGCCCCTGGTAGAGATCCTTTAATCATAAAAGTATCAAGAGTATAAATATTTAAATACAAAATTTTACATAGTAAAATCTATTCAAATCATAAATTTTCCACCTTCTATTTCTCTTAAAAAAAGGAAATCCACATAAAAACTCATATTTCCACTTCTAAGAATCTGACTAAAGCAGTTGGCCTGGGCACACTTCTTCCCAGTCTTTAGTCAGTTATGGCACTCATTCACTTGACCGTGTCCAGATCCTGAAGGAATCTGAAATGGCTTACACAAGAGTGAGAAAAACATTGCACTAAATAGTAACTAGAAAAAGGGTAAAGGGAAAGGGATTACCAACTATGGCTATGACGTTAGAACAGTTAGTATGGTACGTTACAGGAAGTGGCAATCAGATGGATGAAAATAATTAGAAACAAAATCTATCAAGCTAGAAACCCAATCTTCAAAGCAGACGTGAAGGAGCAGTTTTATTACACCAGAGTGTGATATACATACACATCATAGGCAAGTTGCTAAGAAGCTCGCAAAAACAGAAAGAAAGCTGGTTCACCCTTTAATATAGCCAGACACATTCTACAACAAGTTCTCAATGTAAAACATGACTGATGATAAAGATTCTTCCCTGAATAAACTCAAACTAGGTTCATGTGAGTGCACCTAGGTACCAGCTTTGAACATGTGATCAAGAACCTAATTTTAACAAGAATTCTGCTAAACTGGTTTAGCCTGAATCCCTTAGCTGGAAACCTACTTACCGTCCAAAAACAGCCAAATTCCTCATCTTCACTGTTGCACATGTAATATCTGATCACCCTGTCATAAATTCTATTTAGCCAGAATTTGCTTTAGTCAGAATATCCTTTTTTTTTTTTTTTTTTTTTTTTGTCTTTTCCCTTTTTATCGGTACCAGGGATCGAACTCAGGACTGCCTACTTGCATGGCAGGTGCTTATGCCGCTGAGCTAAATCCCCAGCCCCCCAGAATATCCTCTTTTACCGTGATGTTCCTCTCAGCTGCTGACCACCAGCACCTACACAAACACCCTTCTCCTCAGCTATAAAATCTCACGTCTCCGTCTCCCTGTTGTATTTGGAATTGAGCTCTGTATCTCTGACTGTAAGATTCCATCACACAAACCTACCTCATCACAACAGTCCTGAATATAAACCTGCTTCACCATTTTAAAAGGTGTCAGAAATAATTCTTATTTAGTATTAGTCCTCAAATTACAGGCCTCAAAAATACCATTTATGATCATAGTTTATGCTAAATTTCCCCATAGAAAGGGCTTCTGGTTAACTGATTTTACCCAAAGGAATATTGAACACCTAAGTAAATCTTACGAAATTCAAATTAAAGGTTGTATTTGTAAGAGGTGTCATCAGGCCCTTAAGAAATAATGTTGAGTTATGAAACTAGGCTACTTGGGCTTTAAAAAGATTTACACTGATCACAAAGGGCCAGAGAAAGAACTGAAACTAAAATGATCTAAGAAAAGAAATGAGGAAAATCTCTCCCTTTTTTTAATCAGGGAAAATATCAGGTTTTTCTTATTTTTGATTTCTACTTATCCTTGCATGAACATAGCTCATCCTCAGAAATACAGCATGTAAACTATATGAGGACATCACCTACCTCAGAAATATTTTACAATTTTTAAGAAATAGAAAATAGGAGCTGGGGATTTAGCTCAGCGGCATAAGCGCCTGCCTTGCAGGCAGGCAGTCGTGAATTCGATCCCCGGTACTGATAAAAATGAAAAAGACTAAAAGAAAAAAAAAAAAAAGAAATAGAAAATAAAAATGGGGCAATACCTTCATAACTTCTTCAAGATATCGTGTTGAACTTCCATTTGCATATGCAGTTTGTACAACACCAATATTCAGATTTTCTCCAATCTAGACAAAAACAATATAAATTGTCATCAAAAGCATTGTCTGTGAAACCAAACATGAGACTTTTTAAGGCTAACAAAATCAGCCAGTTCAACTGTGTCTTAGTTTATGCAATAAGGGACTTACTGAAAATACGTATGCCAAAAAAAAAGTTTTCAGCACTATTTTAGAGGGAATCCTTCTTAAAGAAACTTGTCTCCCTATTTTTGTTTTTTATATTTTTAATAAAAGTACTTACCGAATTCTTAAAATAGCTTTTCCCAGTTATAATTTATAATTTCACCTTAAAAACCTGAAAAAGATTTCTGTAAACAAGGAAACAAACATTTCTATCATAATAAATATCCAAGATGATATTTTCTGTTAGCATTTGGGAATTTATGATGTAATGGTGGAACTCAGTTATAAAGAAATCAAAACAATAAAGCTTCAAATCATAAAAACTAGTCAGTATAAGAAGAAAAGAGTACCTCGGGTTCTAAAACTGGTGTCTCAATGTTGACAGGATTGGAATTACTGTTTCTTTTTGTATTTTTTTAGCCACAAATGTGAAGAACTTCCCATAAATTATGCCTCTGACACATTCAAATGACTGACATGGAATGACTTGACTAAAAAATGTGGTTTCATAGGGCAACCAATCTACCATCATACCTCCAACAGGAGTTCTTTAAGGAAACTGCTAATTAACGTTGCTATCTTGTCTCCATCTATAAGATGAAACTGACCATCTTCATTCCGATAGTAATACACAATTCTGTCTGCGTCTCCATCAAAGGAACAGCATCTTTCATTAGGCTTCATTTCCATTCCTAATGCACAAGGTAATTGAAAATATATGTTAGTTTTAGAAACAGGAATAAAACTCAATATGAAAAATTTTAAGCTTTTCTTTTACACTAGTAATTAGGGAAAATTTCTTCAATAAAGCATGATCAGAATTGACCTGGCGTGTTACATATATAGCATGCTCAGTATAAATTTTCAAGAGATGTTTAAAATTATCTTTCCAGATAAAAACCAGTCTTAATCTTCAAATGTCCAATTTATTAGTCACTTTTACAAGTCAAATTACTTCAAAATGGGAAAGGAACATTAAAAAAATCTATACTGAAACTTGCTGTAATACTACAAATTCCACTTTTTTTTTTTAATAGTCCTGGGGACTAAATACACTGTGCTACAGCCCCGACCTTCACTCTGAAATAAAGCTCCACTGTGCTGCTCAGCCTGGTCTCCATCTTACCATTTTCCTGCCCCAGCCTCCAAGAGTTCGAGGACAAGTGCACACCACTGCACCTGGCTTAAAATTCCATTTTACAAACCTGTTGGTTTGAGTAGACAGGTTTCCTCTGTAAGTTTCTGAAAGTTACAGGGATTTCTGAATATAATCTAACTAGTACTTTGGTATCCTTTGTATCTAAAAAAGTAATCAGCAATACATATGTGCTTTAATTCTAAAAGAAATAGTTTTTATTTGTTCACAGCACCAAAAAACACTGGCAATGAAGAGATAAAAATTACACCCTGTAAGAGATCACTAATGGGCTGCTAAAACAGGTAAAGCCATGGAAACCTTGGCAACTATCAAAATATGTGGCTGATCTTCAGCCATAAGCAGCAGAGTAGCAAAGCCAATACAGGGCAGCTAGGAAATGAAAGGCTTTGCCAGGAATGGGAGGAAAAGGTTGCCTGTAAGACACAATTCAAGGTTTGGACGGCAAGGCTTGCTCACACTGCGGTCCCAGTGCTTAGAGAAGCAGAGAGCTTAAAATAAGTAAATGGATAAGTGAGTGAGACAGAAGTAAATGTCAAAACAAGCAAATCAATGAAAACAGTCTCAAAATGGTTGACAATTAAAATTTTAAATGCTAACTATACTGAGGCAAAATGAGGGAACCACAGGAAGTGTGTGCATTTCTAAAATATGTCATATTTAAAGGTTGTGGTAGCAAATTAATGAAGTATGAAAAGCCATTTTGTGATTTTTAATAAAGATGATAGGATTCCAGTATTTTAAAAAAATCACAGAATTTTTTAAAAAATGTCAGCTACTGCACTAAACACACAAGCAAACACCCAAACCAACACATCTATAGGCCAGGTTTTGCTTCCAGGCTGTAACTTAGGATCCAATGCAACAAAGTTAAATTACATTCCCTTCTATGGTGTAACTTGCGAAGATGCGGTAAAAGATGCTGCTGCTTACACTTGCTGTCTTTAGATCAGTATTTCAAAGTGTATTCACCAGAGCTTCACCATCAACAAAGCCTGTGAACTGGCAGAAATGCTATGAAATCATACCCCAGCCCCAGCAAATCAGAAACTGGATGGGGCCCCTAAATCTGTGTACCAATAAGGCAATTCAGATTTGTGCTAAGGTCAGGGACTCAGTGTCATTTTCTGACCCTGCTTTCTCTAGCAGATTTCCTATCAACTAGAAGCAGGTATGACAAATACACAAAGTATACTGTTTTGAATGGCACTGACAATTAGGAAGATTCTCAATGTCTAAGTGGCAGAGCAAATACCAGCTAAATGATTCTTAACTCCTGTGACCACTCTGGCTTGCAAATGAGATTGGCCCCAAAGAATTCTAAAGACACGGTTTCACAGTGCTGGTCATACACACCCTCTGGAGGTTTCTGATGGCTTTTCACAAAGTCGGCCCCGCATAAATGGTTGAGCTTCCCTTTGGTCCCATCATTATACAGCTGAACTGATAATCCCTGTGAGAAGTAGTGTTGCATTTCCTTTAGCTTCAGAGCCCCTATACCATTTGCACAGTCAACTTTAAGTGACCTGTATTCATCTCCACTGCAGGAAACCTTCAAAGAAAAGACACACGGAAGAAAATTTTCAAGTTATAAAAGGGAAATATAAAATTATACATACATATATCTTCCATTATTTTAGTTAACTAATCTTTTTAACCCAGAAAACAAACACATATATATTGAGAGAGAAATTATAAAACACCAAAGTAAAATTTAAAAATCAACCTGGTCACTGAAATACTTTCACTTATTGAACAACTTGTGGAAATGGAGATTTAATACAATTTAGTCTCCAGTGAGCAGGATTCCTAAGAAATCTTACAGTCTGTATAATCTGACAGTCATTCAAACGCAAAAGCAAGTCCACAGAGGACTATACAGTTAGTAGGCTACTCAGACCAGAATCTAGGGGCGCTCTAGAGAAAACAGAAGCCACATTTATGTGAAAGGGAGGAGAAATGACAAGCTAAGATTCATTGTTTGATACTGTTGCATTTTAACTATGAGCAAAGTATTTTTCACCTGTTTGGTAAGCGCCACGAAAGCCTTAGAAAGCTTCTGGTAGTAACCTTCTGTGGTCGCCTTTCCGTACTGGCCACTGGTGTTTCGACAGTAAACCATGTAGTGCAGCTGGGGTGTCGTTAGTAAGCCATAATCTGCCCAGAAAAACAAAACATAATTCGGCACATTTCGCAACAAAGAAAAACGCTTACATGCATTCATACTTTTAAGATTTTCAAGGTGACAAATCCTCTTTGTAAAAAGGCATCTCGGGGGCTGGGGATTTAGCTCAGCGGCATAAGTGTCTGCCTTGCAAGCAGGCAGTCGTGAGTTCGATCGCTGGTATGTATAAAAAGGAAAAAGACAAAAAAAAAAGGCATCTCAAGACTGAAGCTGTAGCTCAGTGGTAGGCACTTTGCCTAGAATGTACAAGGCGGGGGATTCAATCCCCAACAGCATCAAAAAGGCATCTTGACCTCACAGTGCATCTCAAGTGGTAAAGCACTTGCCTAACATGTATGAGTTTGATCTCCAGACCAGAGGGTAAAAAGGCATCTTGGAAAACTTAAAAACACTTTTTTTAATTGGTGTTTTTTGTTGTTTTGTTTTTGTTTTTGTACTAGAGATTGAACTCATAACCTTGAGCTTGCCAGAGAGGCGCTTGTACCATTGAGATAAACCCCCAGCTAATTGGTGTATTTTTGCAATACATAATAATGTTCCTTGTGGAGAACTGGTACATATACATATCACTAACTTTCAAACTATTATCTACATGCACAAATATCCACTAAAAATCACCACAACTGTATTTCACATATTCAATTCTGAAAAAATGATAAATTATTAATATAAAGTAATCATTTAGTGGCTATATAAATATAAAATACAGAAAAGTAATAATAGAGTTTTGCTTCCAGTAACATTGTAAACCACCTAAGTCAGATGAACCATCCCCCCAAGAGCCACCAAAAATGCTGTATAAAAGAGAAAAATCTCTTTAGATTCAGAAGAGTCAGGCTAAACTCTTGAAGACAGGGATTTCAAGATCTGAGCTGAGAGAAGCCAGTTTGGCTCTAAGGGCATTGCTGTCAAGTAGAAACAGGGCTCTGTGTTTCAGTACAAAGAACTAACACGGGGAAACCAGGAGACCAGACTCGGAACCCTCAACAGATTACCTGTTTGTTTTAAGGAGCAGGCGGGAATGAATCCCTCCAAGTCCGCACTCTCAGGATGGCTGTCTTGCAATAAGCAGAGCAGAGGAGGAAAACCTGCCCTTCAGGACCGGACCACAGATAGCTCCAGGGCACGTCACCACAGGGGTCCCGAGGAAGGAAGTTAAAAGCAGACCTGGCCCTGGCACTGCCCTGGGCAACCAGCAGAAGAAAGCACCAAATCTTGCTCAAAGGAATCACTTTTATCATAAATCTTAAAAATGCCCCACAAATAATTTTCTGAGAAAACAGTTTCCAGTCAGACACAACGAAGTACACAAGAAAAGCACCGTGAACAGGAAACCAGCGAAAGGCACAGCAGAGAGGGCCAGTACTCAACAGGTGAACACTCAGGGACTAAAAGTCCACCGACTTCAAAAGGGTAAAAAGGCACCATTTTAAGTTGCTGTGCCCTGCAAGTTGTACAAGAGAAATGATATTTCATGAAGGCAACTTTAGTTCTGACATAAGGAGAAGGAACGAAGTAGGAGAGCTCAAAAAAGAGTGAACAATACCTCACACTAGTTAAATGGAAGTGTTTATTCCAAAAGACATACTAACGGCAGAAAGATTTTGTGAACAATATTAAAATTACCAAACAGTCATAACATGACTATTACATGTACGGATTAAAAGTTGTCATTATCTATCAAAATTTTCCTGTTTCTCATGGTTTCATCTCTCCGGTGTGAACTACTGTACGTACAGCACGGGTCTAACTGGTCTCTTCTTTACAACTTTTCCTTCTCTAACAATAGTCAGTGACTCACTTTAAAAAAAAAAATTGGTGATCCTAGAACTCTCAGACTGAGACCGGAGGATTACAAGTTCAAGCCCAGCCCAGGCAAGTTGGTTTCTTAATGAAAATCTGCCTCAAATAAAAAGTGGCCTGGGATGTAGTTAAGTGTGAAGGTTCTGAGTTAAACTCCCAGTACTATACAAAAAAATAAATGAAATAAAATTCAACTGAATCCCACTGCATTTGGAATACAACCTAAATCCTTGCTGTGACCTACAAGGCTTAGAATGATTTGGCCTCTGCTTTTGTCCTTTATCTTCTAGTCTGCTAGCTTCTTTATTTTTCCTGGGCTGTAACTATGATAATCCTTCTTAACAAATACACCAAGCTAAAGAGAAAAATAGGCAAGAGATTTTTAAAAAAGTCATTTTCAAACTTTTTTAGACATGTACACTAAACACTGGAACAATGATAATTCTGGAGAGAGAAGTGAAAATGCCAAAGCACAGGAATCATTCTGAGAATAGTAAAAAAACAAAACAAAATATAGGTTTAGACCCAAGATGGAGCAGGCTACCTCTATGAACGCATCCCTCAGATGCTGCTTTCCATCATGCAGAGCGTGGCCTGTAGAAAGGTCAGGGAATGTCCTTGATGAGACACAACCATCATTTCTGCATTGGTTCTCACAAAATACATGAATGCATACCATGTATAGTAAGTGAGACTCAACTCAAGCCACTGTTTCCGCTACCCGCAGAAGCTGAGAGGCATGTCACGGTAAGACAGGTTTTGCATTGAGGGTAGTGTCACAATGTAATAGACTATTGGTGACTGTCCACAGCATGTAGACAAAAATGTCTCATAAACTACTAATGAAGAAAGGTTGTTGGGGTTAAGGCAGGAAAAACGATCATCCAGAAATCAGGTAGAATAAGCAAAATGGCCCTTTATCAAGAACTAAAAGAGGGGCCAGCAGAGACACTCAATAAGGAACGTAAGTAGAAGCTGAAGAAAGAAGTTTTGACTGTGGAAGCTGCGAAGACATCAAGTGAAATAAAAACTTCAGAACAGGGGCTGGGGATTTAGCTCAGCAGCATAAGCGCCTGCCTTGCAAGCAGGCAGTTGTGAGTTTGATCCCCGGTACTGATAAAAAAAAACTTCAGAACATATGTTCTTAAGGTTATTTTTAGGACACAGATCTCTGCAGGTATCTGACAAAACACATGTAGCTTTTCCCTAGAAAAGCCTTTATGTATGTAACCCCAGAGGGCCACAAAGTCACTATGGCTTACCTAGAAACTCCACAGGTCCTGGGGCCAGCTTAAGAATCCCCACTTGACTGTGCCCAGACAATCAGGTGATGGGAGGTCGGAAGAGTGTCTGGGAAACTTCTCCTCGGAGAGGCAAAGGAAGCCTCACCTGCAGCCAGCCGAGGACCAGCCACAGAAGGAGGGACACACACAAGGCTGAGGAGCTCACAGAGCCAAGGCCAGACCCACTGATAAAAGCACACCGAAGCAACCACAAAGGTTTCAAAGTCCAGAGAAGGTTCACTTTCTTAATGAGTAACATGTGACACTAGGAGAAACTGACCTCAAATCAGAGTGTCACTGCCTTCACAAGACAAGAGAAGCCTCCACTGGACTGCGTTTCAACTCCTTTGATAGGAAGCACCATGATTATCTGCAGGCCAAAGATGTTTTCCATCCATGTTTGACAGCTGATCAGTTATTAGGGAACACCTAAAACTGACTCCAAAAACCCAAAACGGAATTCTATCACCTCCAAAAAACTTTTATACCAAGAAATCCTGCCTTCCTAAAGTAAAGTTATATCAGATCAATGTTTTCTACACATAATTTCTTATAGTACTCCCATAGGCTTAACAAACCTGCCCAGGAAAAATCTGAAACATTATTGTAAGTTAAAAACTTTATACCTAAAAGTTAATTTTTTACACTTTTATTATTCATCTGTAATTTCAAACCGTAGAGATATATTTTACAATTTTTTAAAAAATTAATTTAATTTACAACTAAGGATAGTTACCTACCATGGAATTGACTTCCTAAAACAGTTACTCCGTCTATTACAGACTGGGAGAATTTCTCACTGCTGGGCCTAGGAAAGACAAGGAAGAAAAACAATGCATCTTTCCTGGAATCAACAGAGTTGCTGGTCAAGAGGGCAAACATACTACCAATTTCAAAATAATAAATTTATTGCATATGTGCTGAAACCTAAAGATACCCTCAAAGATACAGGTAAATTATAAAAATTTTCCAGTCGCCTTTCAAAGTCAATCTCTTGGAAAACCTTTGGCTTTTAAATTAATTTAGAGAACAGCTAAAAAGGATAACCTAAATATGTCACAGCCAAATACCTTTCCAAATATAACTAAAACAACATAGATGATAAACGAGTAATAAAGCAACAATAGTAATTAGTAAAGTCTGTAAAATTAGTAAAGTCTGTACTGGATGTTAAACTACTATGAATATAGAACCTACTTTTTCATTTTATAATATCAGAAAGATCTAAAAATAAGGAAGACCTTTATATAATTTCCTTTTAGAAGAAGATATAATCACTTGAATTAGTTTATCAAGTAAGGAGTCAAATATATGTAGGATAATAATTTACTTCAGGATATAAATCACCAGTTTTTCCACCTATAAATCCACTATCACTGGTACCTACAATACAATAACACAATAAAAGGTGAAACACAATAAAGACTCTCTGGATAGAAACTCCATAAAAGGTGAAAAAGTCCAAGCTATTACGAAAATGAGGAAATATTTCCTTTTGAAAGAATCTACAGCTAAAACCAGACTTTATGCCAAAGACAGTGCCAATCGTTCAAAGTACTATACATCTTACAAAAATGATATGCTTTTGTAAAAAAAAAAAAAAAGGCAAAAGCTGGCAAATATAATACAAATTACTGTTTTCAGTCAACTATAAAACAAGTATTTTTACAGACAGCTGTATACATAGCAATGGATTACAACAGATACAATAACATAGATTACAAAGAAAATCTGTAAAGATAATGAGTTAAAACTATGTGTTCTCACTCTGTGAGAGAAAAATCCTACAGACTGCTCTTATGCCAGGAGGTATTTTGCATGTATTAATTCTCATAAGAACACTGCAATAGGCCTAATGATCAACAGCGTTTGGAGGAGGAAACAGAAGCTCCAGGATAATAATCTGTCCTAACTACATAAGGCATACATGTGGAGTTCAAACTAGAATTGAAATCTAAAACCCCAGCTGCAGCTGTGCATCAGCTCCTCAGAAAGACCCGTCCGGAGACGCGGCTCAGGGAAGCTCTGCTCTCCTTCACTCTTCCCATCTGTTTTGGGGACTGAAACCAATGCAGTCATTCACATTGCAGTCACACTGCCTCTGCAGAAACTCACCTGGTATCTCTCCCAATAACCACAAAGGCATCTTGCTGCAGATCCACAGCTTCGCTCTCACTGATGCCAACAAGCACTCTCTGCAGATCTTGCTCCTCAGCATTTGCCAGACAGGTAGCGTGCTCCTCCCAGGATGGTGCCAACATTTCACCCAAAGGATCGATCAATTTCACACCATTGTCTTCCTTCCAAGCAAAATAAACAGTAAGTCATCTGCACATATCCATGAGAGCATTCTTGCTGTCAGAGAGCTCAGAGAGCATTCTTGCTGTCTTCTCCCCAAAAACACACAGGAATGGCTGAGCAGATTCAGAAGTTACCACCTAATTATAATGGTGCTACAGGTGTTTTAGTCCAGTATCTCATTTCCTTCTCATGACAGCCTATCGATCTAGTTAAGACTCTACTATTACTGCAGCATACAGATAACAAGTTCAGAGAGATTAGGGAATATGCTTATGATCATACACCTATAAATATCAGTGCCAATGTTAAAACTTCAAGTCCATCTTACTTAAACCTAACAACTGTAATGCTACACAAGTTTTTCTACAAAGCCGTTATGTCTGTGTCTCTTATTAGCACACAATGCAGCAAGGGACACAACTGGCCACTCACTGTGCCTCTGGACTCTCTGAGCAGGTGTCTAGCACACCTGCCACAGGCTGACTCCAGGTGCTGGTCTGCTCAAACTCCTATTTTAAAAAAAGTACACTTTAGAGTGAATGTCAATTGAAACAGCCCTGAACTGTTCTGAAAAATGCTTCTGGAACCAGCAATAAATGTGAGGTTCTTCCTACACATCAATAAATTACAGTGATTTATATGTTTAGATGCATTTGGGGGTCACGCATTTAGAGTTCAGAAAAGCAATATCTTCATTTTAGGGGAAGAGGTTACCACCCATAGTTTAGACTTATAGAGCTTCTACGTGTTGGTGATTTAGCTACAAAGACAAAAATCTCATGCCTTAGTAATTAAAGAGAAGCATATTATTCAAATTGTGTAGTAGCTGACTAGAAGTAAGAGAAAATAGAAGTTAAATTATGTCCAAACAGTAGCTCAGCTTGGCATAGTAGCATATCCATGTAATTCCAGCTCCTCAGGAGGCTGAAGCAGGAGGATTAAAAGGAAAATTAGTAAGAGCCTATATCAAAATAAAAAGGGCTAGCACTGCAGCTCAGGGGAAAAGCAAGCATCCAGCATGTGTAACATTGAGTTCAATCCCCTGCACTGTAAAAAAAAAAAATCCAAGATACAGAAATAACCTAAGAATCACTCACATATGAAAGGATAAAGTGTGATATACACACAGAAATATACAGTATTCAGCTTGGAAAGAAAAAGAAAGAAAATATTGCTGTTCGCAACAAGATGGCCAAACCTGGAGAACATTATGCTAAGTGAAACAAGCCAGGTATAGAAAGATACCACATGATCACTCATCATGTTGCCGATAAGTGGCTGAATTCATAGAAATAGTAAAATGATGACTGCAAGAGGCTGCATGCGGAAGAAACATGTTGATTAAAGGCTATAAATTTAGAGTTGTGACAAAGTTGTGGAACTAATATATCATAGGGACCATATTTAATAATAATGCACTATATACTTTGTTAAATGCAGATCTTAAGCATTCTCACTACAAAAAACCTGCAACTGAAGTGATGAGCACGTTAATTAGCTTGCTTGTGGCAATCATTTCAATAATATATCACTATACCAAAATGTGACATTGTTCAACTTCAATACATACAGTTTTTATTGTATCTAGAGCTGAAAAATAAAAATAATTATGTCCAAAGAATACTTTCCTTAAAACTATAATTGTTCTAAAGACTAAAACCTCATCAATATTCTACCCAAAACTCACTTCTGGATCGCTAGCCCCAGTTGGCGACTATTCAACTGGAACAGGAAACTACTGTGTAACTATTTAGAAAAAGCCTGAATTATTCCAAAATGTCTTTTCAAAGGTTTGCCTTTCTCCCACCTATTTCCATCTGTGTAATCACTGGTTTCCTAACAGTGGTTTCACTTTTTAACTATTAACACTGCCCTCAATTCAACTCCTGTAAAGTGGAAAGACATTATGTTACTTCTCTAATATGGACATGTTCCATTTCATTCTCTTCATACTCTCTACTAAGTCATGAACTAAATGACCACTCTATTAAGAAAGCTCTTTAGAAGCCACTGGTGCATACACATAAGGCATCTTCCTACAATTAGAATTTGTATTTTGGCTGCTGACTCAAGGTTTTAGTCTTGCAATTAAGGGCTGTGTTAACAGAGCACTGCATGCATTACCTCAGGATTGTGCGACGCTGTGACCATAACTCCTATGGTGGACTTTGTCTGTTTTGACCTCAGGACCGCTAATAATCCCATTCGGTACATGATATGATCAAGATGTTCTGCATTTGCTCGAAATCCAGCAGTCCCATACTGAAGAATGAGTCCATTGGGCTTGGCATGTAATGTTGAATGTTTTGTAACAGCGTCTAAATCCATGTCTACAAAATTAAGGAACATTTTTCAGGTATAATAAATCTTTCAAGAACCATTTGCTCCAAAAGCTACCACTCCAAACCCAATTGGTGCTTCATTCTGAAGCTCCTCTAGGATCCATGTTTTAGTAGGCAAAAATAGCATGATACATTCCCAACATCAGACTGACTCAGAATTGGGCCTGCCAGGTAGATCAGTGCTAGCATGCGTGAGGCTCTGGTTTCACATGGGATGTGTAGGAAGGATGTGGGGGAGAGACCTAGAAATTCCTGCATAACTTGTATTGGGTCAGACCAGGGTAGACTGGGGCCAGAAATCAGTTTGCCCCAAATGACCTCCCACTTTGCTTCCAAACTATTCCAAAAGTGAAAATGGTTTACTAGCAATTAAACTAAAGATTTTACACCTAGATTCAGAGACCAACCCATCTTACAAAAGGGAAAACCTAAGCCCGGGCCTCAGTTAACCTCAGATCAACTGTTCATCTGGTGGGAGCGAGGCCTAATGTGAGATTCCCAAGTGCACTATATACCCCTCAAACTGCTGAGACATCTGCCTGGCTCATTTTGCGACTCCCAAAATCACACATTCCCAAAGAAAAAGCAAAAAGACAGTAACAGGTTTTTTTTCTTCAAGACTGCCCAGATTCCCTAATACACTTTGCAGAGGGTTCTTCACGTTCATAGGGAAAATCAAGCTCTAAATAAGCTCTAAAACTAGCCACATCTTCTAATAGCACCTTTGTCTTAACTTTAAAAAATCAAACAAGGACTTGGCCCACTACCATGTCCTTCTCTGGGAAACTTCATCTCAGTGGAACTTGGGGATTCCAACCTTGGCCGGGCCTCTCCGAGGTCCATTCGTAACACGTGCATTTTTGGGGTCACTTCACTCCCAGTGAGCCTACAGATGAGCAGTATCACAGCAACCAGCCTCGTCTTATTAAATTGCCCTTAACGGCTTCATCAAATAAAAATTTAAAGAAATAGTGAAAATGTTTCTGTCCAGTTGGAAAAAAGCTTATCTATCTCGGCCTCAAGTGACCCAATCTCTTTCACAAGGATGAATAAATCTATCTAAAAACTGACCAGTCGGTAATGTACCATCATTAATCACACGGGCGTAAAGCGGTCCCGTTAAACCTTGGAAGTTTTCAAAAATTACAAAAAACAAGATAACATGCTTCCACCCTGCAATGCGATGCAATTGCTTTCACTAAAAGTATATCTTCTAAGTCCTAACAGTGTGCTCTGGAAAAAGGGCACTGCAGCCCCTTCTCCGCATTCCACTTTCCCCCTCGGTCCGGCTCTCTTCCCAGCTCCGGGATCGCCGCGAGGCCGCCAGGTGCCGACCCCGGCCGGGCCTCAGCTCCCCCGGCTCCGGCCGCCAGCTCCCAGCAGTAGGCGTGTCCCGTGCGCGGTCCGAGGATCAATCGAGCAGCCTGCTCGCTGCTCCGCCAGTCGGCCGGAGATGCTGCCCGCCCGGCTCCCACGGGACCCCAGCAGACTGGAGCGTCCCCTTTCCGCCCCAAGTCTCGGGCGGCTCACCTCGGCCCAAACACGTCCTCCCGCTCCAGGAACAGGCTCTTCACCTCAGCCGGACCCCGGGCGCCAGCGCTCAGGACCGCAGACGTGGCCTTGCGTGGCTTCCGGGCCGTTGCCCCGCCCCCCGGCCAATCACGGCGGCGCCCCGCGGGCCCCGCCCCGGCCGCTGGCGTCTCAGGAGCCGCTCGCGCCTGAAGCCCTGCAACTGCGGCTCTGCGCCGGCTCCGGGCCGTTTCAGTTTAATGAGGAAGAAGGTGAGGCACGGCCACGGCCCAGGTTTTGGACCTGAGAGTCAGAGCAAGGGGATGGCAGCCTCCACGGCACATGCGGGCTTCGGGGGAGGCAGACGCCACGTCCCCGGGTGGCCAGAGCTCTTAGTTGGTCGTGGATGGGGTTAGGGGTGGAAGTAGTGTCCTCAGCCAGAGTGCCACCGGGCCCTGCATCCCTCTCCAGTTGTCGCGGTCATTCCTCACACCTGTGACTCCGGAAAGCCTTCTTGAGCCACCCTTCCCACCGCGCTGTCATTTTCTGTCTTTACCTCCAAAACACCCCAGCCCCGGGAATCCAGGCCGTCAGGAGATCTCGGGTGCCTCCTCAGGCGAGGGCGGATCCTGAGGAGACGGAAAGGCTCCCCGCACAACTTCCCGACCTCGGGACAGACTGGTAGCGGCCGTGGGGGTGGCGGCCCCTGCGCAAACCTAAAACCGGGTGGGATTGGGTCCACTTCCTGTCTCGGAATGCTGCCTTGCAGCGTTTCTGCAGGTGTCACTTGTAACCACCTGCAGCGCCATAGTTGCCAGCACCTGTTGAATCTGATTACTAACCTGATCACTAACTCTTGCTCCAGAGGTGAAGAGGGGGATGGTGGGGCAGGATAGAAATTGAATGTCAATGGATATCGTGTGTAGGGTGGGGAAGTGTTTGTGCATGTTACATTTTGGGCATCTGGAGATTAAACCGACGGTGTGAAGGTCCCAGTTTGTGCCCTCTCTGTGCAGCATTCCTGGGGAACTGCGTACTGGAAGAAGGATCTTCGGGAAATTTCCCTGGGCACCAGCTGACACCGTTAAGCCCAGAGTCCTTGGGCCTTTCCAGGTTTCCATGCAAGCCAATTCTGAGACATGTCTGCTTCAGTGAATGAAAGCCTTCAGCTTCAGCTGTTGGAGATGGAAATGCTGTTTTCTATGTTTCCTAACCAAGGAGAAGTAAAACTTGACGATGTAAATGCCCCAAGGAATATAAAGAGATATCTAGAAGGCACCAGGGAAGCGCTACCACCAAAAATTGAATTTGTGATTACGCTTCAGATTGAGGAGCCCAAGGTGGGTGCCTTCATTTGTTTCAGGTTTTGCTAAGTGCCCAGTTCCAGGTGTGTGACTCTACTTGTTTGGAAGCAAAACATGCAACATGGGCTGCTCTGTAAACTGTCCTCAGTAAATATCCCAAATTTTATATGAATATGCACACCTTTTAAACAAATATGTCCAGTCCTTTTATTGAAAATACATTATTCTTTTTACTCAGCCAATTTCTTACCATACCAGTTGTTATAGATCACCATTACAGATGCCATGATTTTCACAAGTTTAAGTATTACATGAAACCACATTAGCTTTTAAAGGAATGAATGTTTTTGGACTTTTAAGTTCACCTTATGCAGAAAGCAAATACATGTACAAAATTTGAATCTTAAAAGTGAATTTACTTCCATTATCATTGATTTCCGAGAAAGTAACATTGGACTGGTCATTTGAGAGCTGTTTTACCTGTTTCCTAACCATTCTCTGGGTGTTATGCTCTCTGAGGAAGCTTCCTGTCTCCCTAGACTGTATTCTCTCCTGATGGTTGCATACTTCAGTGGAACCCAGAAGTTTCTTGTGCTAATGCTTCTCACAAATGAAATCAAATACTGCCTACATGTAGTTTTTGTTATTTACATATTTTTTTGGTCTAATGGGTGTCTGTTTCACTAGACTAGACTTCATGAAACCCATACTGTGTAACTCTTCACTATTGTATACCAGCACAGGGCACTTAGAATGTGTATTTCAATAAACAATAAAAAGAATGAATGCCTACATGGAAAGAATTGTGTGCATATAAATTATATGGTAGATAGCTGACAATAGCAATGACTATTCCCTTTATTAAAGGCATGAGTTACAACTGATGAACTAGCTTGTGTGGTTTTATGGTGTTTAACTCTATTTGATTTTAATTTTAAGGTGGCAATTGACTTGCAAGTAACCATGCCTCACAGCTACCCCTACGTAGCATTGCAGCTCTTTGCTCGGTCATCTGATCTTGATAGACAACAGCAGCTACTTCTCAACAATGGTCTCACGTCTTATATAGGGACTTTTGACCCAGGGGAGCTCTGTGTATGTGCAGCAATTCAGTGGCTCCAGGAAAATAGTGCATCCTATTTCTTGAACAGAAAGCTTGAGCATGAACCGTCTGCACAAGCAAAGCCAGTCAAGAACACATTCCTCCGAATGTGGATCTACAGTCACCATATCTATCAACAGGACCTAAGGAAAAAGATTTTAGAGGTGGGGAAAAGGTTAGATGTGACTGGATTTTGCATGACTGGAAAGCCCGGTATAATCTGTGTGGAAGGTTTCAAGGAACACTGTGAGGAGTTCTGGCACACAATTCGCTACCCGAGCTGGAAGCACATTTCCTGTAAGCACACTGAAAGCATGGAGACAGAAGGAAATGGCAGGAACCTGCGCCTTTTCCATTCTTTTGAAGAATTACTTCTTGAGGCCCATGGTGACTATGGACTAAGAAATGATTACCACATGAATCTGGGGCAGTTCTTGGAATTTCTCAAAAAGCACAAAAGTGAGCATGTGTTTCAGATATTATTTGGCATTGAAAGCAAAAGTTCAGATGCCTAGGAAGTTACTGAGGTCTGTGCTTACAATTTCCCTCAGTCGGTGTTTTTATTAGCAAGACCAAGTAAAAAATACTAGTGGCTATGTGGCATTTTCAGTGAGAACCCTAATTCCAGGATCTTCACCTGGTAATGAAACAAATAGGCCTTGTGACTTTGAAAAGGCACAACTGTGATGTTCCCTTAGGTTCCTGTATTGTAATTTGAAAACTATTTCATTGCAAATAAAAAGTCCATTTAACCAGTGCAGTGTGATTTGATTAAAGAGTATAAAGCCACAAGTTAATGTTAGAAATCAAACTGCAGTTATGAGTTCATAAATGTGAACATTTCTGCCTTTCATGATGTCAGCACATGGGTAACATACCAACTTTCACCATTAGAAATTAATTCAATGAGAAAAGCATATGTCTACATTTCACTCCCATTTCAAAGATATTAGTAAAACCACATACTAGCAATAATAGAGAAATCTTAGTGGTAAAATCTCAAGAATAAAGGTAACACCATGCTATGTCATCTGCTGTTTGTATCAGTTTGTCAAAGGTACTAGCAGCGATAATGATACTCTTAGTTCTGTGCACAGTACTCCCCTGGATTTTTCCATGCCGGCCACATTCTGTTACGCAGTACTGTGTTGAGTGGGGATGGAGGGGCCCTGTGAGGAGGGCTGCCCAGTAACTTCACTGGAGGAAGAAAACTACACTGTGCTAAGAAGTCCTCTCTAATGAAAAGGCGAAGTTCCACCGGCCTTTTCAGAAGAGTTGATTTTAATGATAAACCCCCCTATGCAGGTGGCTCTTGCTAATCCTGTTACCAGGTATCTATTTTTCCCTAAGATTTTCTAGTGCTGAGCTATGTCACAGGCAGATCCTGCAGCCGTTCCTTCCCCAGTTGCCGCAGTCTCCCCTCAGCCTTGCTTCCCTTCCCCGTGGACAGGTTCATTCTCTCTCGGAGGCCAAGGTGCCCCACTGATGGCCGAGTCCCTTTCACGATGCTAACACCAGAGAGTGGGCTTGCGTGACACAAAGGAATGCCTGGTCCTTCAACTTTACTTTTTCTGGAGGTATTTCTAATAATATTTCAAAACCTGGTTTTACATGCAAAATATACTCCTATACTTTTTCCTATTTGGAGCAATAAGACATCTGTGATAGAAGCATAAATTTTATTAGAAATATGTATATATATTCAAAGCTCATCTTTGTACGCTGGTGGTTGTGTTTGTCCACCCTGAAAAGAGCATACACAGTGCACACACACACATACACACACACACACACACACACCCTGCCCCATACACCCAGCCCTTACTTGGAAAATTAATCCTTTATTGTACAATATAGGGGGAGAAAATGACTGGAATCAATTGGGGAAACATGCTATTTATAAAAGCTGCAGCAGCTTTTTTTTTTTTTTGTCTTTTTCATTTTTTATCGGTACCAGGAATCGAACTCACGACTGCCTGCTTACAAGGCAGGCGCTTATGCCGCTGAGCTAAATCCCCAGCCCCTGCAGCAGCTTTTTAAAACTCAGTGAATTAAGTCAAACATTTCAAGTTTTTCTGCTCAATTCTTAATGGTCTGTGTTAAGTATCCTAAGCTCTAAGTATTCTAGGAGCTGAGGATACTGGTGTTAATTAAGAAGTGACCCAATGAGTTAGATATGACCAGGGACCTCTAAAGCATCCCTGCATTAAGTGTAAAATTGAGATTTCTTGACAGTTCACAGCCATCCATCAAAGAGCTTGGAAAGAATCTCAGGGTGCCTATTTGAGGTCTTCATGGAATTTCTCTGAAGGAGATAATTTTTATTTGCTTTTTTACTTCAAGTAGCCTAGAAATAAAAATAAACTATTTTCTGAAGAGGGCCTGGCTTTATACAGCATTCTTTGATCTCCCTATGGTCCATTTGGTACAAGTACATCACTGCAGCCAGAGACTTTTTTCTGAGTTTGGCCAAAGCAAGAAAAAAAAATGTGTACATGAACCCACAAATGGGTTTAAGTAGTGTACCCAAAATTCAAAGAAAGCCAGCAAACACCAAATGCTGTCCTTAGTGACAGGAGGAATGAATGAATGAGGAATGAATTTGTTCCTCAGTATGGAGGCACATGCAACATGCCGGATGCTGTGCCTTCACAAATCGAGGCTGAGGCGCAGGCTCCTGTGTTTGCATGGCATATATCTTACACCCTCCGGCATATTTCTTACAAGGCATTTGGGGAACTCAGTGACTTCTGAGTTCTAGATCCTATCCACAGAGCATTGTCACTGTGTTGGGCCAGGTGGTGCCCAGTACAGTGGTGAGATGGTCAAGGTCCAGTATCAAGAATGAGATTCTAACCCAGACAGAGTCCATGGAACACTGAAAAGTGATTATTCATATTGTTTATTGTGATGTGGAAAACTTTCTGGTGGTCTGACTTACAAAAGCATGGGCCAAATTAAAAGCTCCATACTGAGCTGCTCAAAAAAGAGAATTTGCCCCTCAGCAGCTGCAGCCGAAATCAAGTCTAATTTTTATGAACATACGCTGTCATTCTGAGACCTGTCTCCTTCACATGCCAAAGATCACTGACGAAATCACAATCACATCCCTGCTTCTTTTAAGGCTTTTGAGGTGAGATTTCTCTCTTTTGGTATCTCCTATTAGAATAATCCTTTTTTTTACAGATCAGACGGGCTATGGGGATATCACCATAGAAGATATCAATTCTTACATAATAAACACCTACAATCTTTTCCATCAATTTAAAAAAAAACTTTTTGGGGGGCTGGGGATTTAGCTCAGCGGCATAAGCACCTGCTTGGCAAGCAGGCAGTCATGAGTTCGATCCCTGGTACTGATAAAAAGGAAAAAGACAAAAAAAAAAAAAAAAGCTTTTTGAAGGAGTCAACTGAAACTCTGTTGGGAGAATAACTGAAGGATGGGTTCAGTCATGTAACATGTACGTCCTACAAATCCCTACAGGGGTTTCAGAGATCCCAGAAACATATTTAGAGCAATGCCCAGGTGTCCTCCAAAAGGCCTAGTCCTTCCTAAATATTGTGTTATCCTAGTAGATGGAAGCCTCCAGGAAAGATTTCAGAAACATATTATCACAGAGTTCATTATTTTAGAGGTCTTTCACTCCTATCTGTATGTAGCAATTTGGTACTGGGAGGTCAAACTTTCCTGCTGTTATACACACCCAGTGGGTTCAATGTGTTTGGTCCTAAACTGGGCTGGCATTCACATGGTGGTTACCTGTGTGGCTACATAAGATTTTTTAAGGCATCTATTTTTTGTTGGTCCGCACCTATACTGCCTATTAATTTTTTAACATCATTTTAGGCCAAGGGGCCCTTTGATTATCTCTCCACCAATAAAACTTTCTGTGGACCAAACAATCGATTACGTCAGACCTCCTTCTGACCTCCACGTATGATAACTGTTTCCACCTTATGTGCAGTTAATGCTAAAAAAAATGCTGCTATTAAGCTCTTGCCAATCCCAAAATTCTGATGTCTCCATTGAAATATGAAAACCATTTTAATCATAGAATTTCTCCCAAGTTTTCTCAGCATAAAGTCAGCAAAATGCTTTTCATGGTTCTGAGCTTGATTAGCTGTAAATAAACAAACAAATGTTCTCACAGGCCTGGCATTTCCCTGCCCAATGTTATTTCTGAAGGCCTTGGAGACAGGAAGGAGTCACTGATGAGTCCTCACAGTTAGGAGATCTTTAAGATGGGATGGTCAGGATGTACATCAAAAATCCACTCCAATAATGCTACCGGTAAAGCTCTGTTTTCCTTTATTTCTAGGAATGGTTCCATTTTGATTCTCACTTCATGTAGGCCTTTACTAAACCCGTGTTTCACCCCACAACCTGAATGAACCGGTATAATCACTGCCAGTTACTCAAGGCTGCCCACTGAATCCAGAATCTGTAGCAAGTGCACCCTTGTTAGTTCTGCCCAATCCAAAATTAATACATCGCCTTCCTTAGCTTTAACATTCTCAAATTTCCAAACATTTCCCTCAGGATTTGGGGACTATAAATGAGCAAATCTAGAATGCTTTCAGTCTGAGTCTTCTCCTGGTCTTTAACTGTACCCACCCCTTCCCTTTCCCATGCTGCAGTGTGATTTTGTGTACAGAGATACTGAAAAGCAATTTGGAAGAAGTACAAGGTGAACTATCTTCCCTTGCTAAGCTAAGCATTAAGTTAGGCAAAGACATTATAGGATTTTCAAGCAAGGTAGTAACCACCTCTTTAGAAGGAGCCCCTAATTTGAACAGCAAGGGGGAACATGCCAACTACCCAGATGGCATGGAACTCAGAAGTGCCCTGGGATGCAGGACTTCCAGCACTCAAATCTAGAGTACTGTTTATCAGATTTAAGGTATTCTGAGTACTCCAAATCCCCCTACCAAGAGATCTCATTCCAAATCAGGGTCCTAACCGGTTACTCGTGGTCATTACTCTAAGTAGGATGTTGGTTTTCAGTTGTTTCTTCCTTACAGTTCTGAGTAGAATGTTCTAGCAAAAACATAGCAACTTTTCTAGTTGTTAGACTGAAGATGAACCTTTGAACCTAAATTCTTCCTCCCTTACTTCAAATATGTATCCCATCATTCTTTCTGTATTCTGAAGCTGAAGGCCGCTTCTGTGGGTGTCTTTATGAGGTATGGTAAAAAATATGGGGCCATTCGATGGAAAGGCCGGCTTATTAAAAGTATTATGGTGCACTGTCATCCATTTAGTCACTGGACCTGACACTGTGTAACTCTGATTCTTACCCAACGTCAAAATGACCATCAAAAGTAAAGATTTTGAACATTTCAAGACAGAACCCGCCAGGAAAGCGCAACAAAGACCCTCATAAATTAGCAACTGGCAAAATTGGTAGAATAAATGTTTAAGGGAGCGTATTTTGAGGGGGATTAATGGTGACGTCTTTTACTATAATAAAATTTTTCTAACTGTGAGCATTCGTTGTATTTTTAGATCTTCCTACATTTTACATTTATCTCAGATGTTAACTTACTTTTTTTGTATTTTGACAAGTCAAGGATTTTATTCTATTTTAGTTCCTCTACTAACATTTTAACTTTATAATTACTCTAGAGGTTACAAAATCCTTCCTTAATGTACTACAATATTCCTTGATTTACTGCAGGTTTGCAGATTGTTCATGTAGTGCATTGTTACAATATTTCAAAATAAATAATATACTTCATGAATAATGTAAACTATAC